AAATGCAATGAAACCCAAAACTCTCCTGACTTTAGATTTTGCAACTGAGCCTCATCCCAGATACAGTGAAGAAATTCACTAGGACTACGGCTACACTACAGCTTAAGTCAACATAAGTTGTGTCACTCAGGGGCAGTGCTTAATTTGTGCCAAGGCTTGCCAGGGCTGAGCCCCGGCACCTCTAGTCTCAGCAGTTCATAGCCCTGGCTATGTAAAAAAATTGCTTGAGCCCCGGCATCTCTTTCATTACAAATTGAGCACTGCACAGGGGGTGAATTAGCCACCACCCTGAGCGTCATAATTTATGCCAACTTAAGCGCCGGTGTGGACAGCGCTATGTCCGCAGGAGAGCTTCTCCCGCCGACATAGCTACCGCCGCTCGCAGGGGCTGGCGTCATTACGCTGATAGGAGCAGCTGTGCTGCTGGAAGCTCTGTGGTGTAGCCACAGCCTGGGATTCACCCACCTTCTCAGTGACCCTACGGCTGATCTTTGATCACACAGAGAGAGCATGTGACGCTCATGGTTTTAACATGAAACTAGTAGAATTCTGAGTGGACCAAAATGTTTGTATGAACCTCTGTAAACCAAAGGGGTTGAGTTTCACACCGCTCTAGTTCTAATACTACGCAATCTATTCTCAAGGGTTCTGTTGACTCTAGCATTAAAACAAATCCATGAACTCTGTGTTTGTAATTATGCTCCATACCACGGCAATATAGAATTTCCCATTATGAACGTGACAGTGGGGTCCGGCTTCACGAGGACAGAACTGCTTGAGCTGTAGGAAGCTCGCAGTTAGCAATAGTGAATATATTACACACACTGCTGAGCCCGTCTGATTCCAGCCAATAGAAAGCAGTGGAACAAATGCACATTTAACAGCCAGCTCTTTATTGAATATACATATGGCTTTCAATAACGTGAAAAGACATCTCTGAGTGAGAACTTGAGATCCTAGCTGCATTAAACCCTATTTAACTCAATCTCATCTGTCATCAGAAGACACTCGCCTCCTGAAAGGCATTTTTAATAAGTGGAGTGAAACCTGAAATCACAGGCTTACTGCCAGCCGTGGCTTGCCTTCCTCTGAAGATGCTGGAGGGTGTGTCTTACGGCAGGTAGAGTATTATAAGGGCCTTAAAGTTTGAGGGGAAGAAAGGACACACATTTGAGAATAAGGAGAAATGAAGTTAGTATTTGTTATCTCCTTATTTGCAACATTACTTACTCTCTTTGGTGCAACAGATTCAGGTAAGAAGTCAGGTACATTCTTTTGCTTGGAATGTCTTAACTAGGACAATTCAAGTGCAGCTCAACTCTTGAAAAGTGACTATGTAAAAATGTTCAATTTCTTGCTCAACAGATCTAGTCCTTGAGTGTTTTCCTAGTCATAATTACTTATAGATTTAAGGCTTCTCAGCCATGCAGGTAAGAGAAAGAGTGCTGGATTCTTTTCTCTTTTTTTGTGCATCATCACCAGAAGTGCTCACTCAGGTTTGAACTACAGAGTCGTTCAGTTTATAATGTTCTGAACAGGATGGGCATTTGGAGCGGTGTATACAGACTGGGGTGAGGAATTTATGTATTGGCATATATAGAAACCTGTGCTCAGAATTTGTGCTGCAACATTCAACTCCTAGGGACTCCCTCCCCAACCAGAGAAGCAAGCAGATCGTGGTGCACAACCCAGGAAAAGACAAACGGTGGGCCTTTGAAACAGACAGCTCAGCCAGCATTTCCCCACCCCGAATAACCAGGAGTCACCATGCCAGAGACAAAAAGAAAAGAAAAAAAGATCTTTTTAAAAAGGAGACTGACATCAAACTGAGGGGCAGTCGCTTGATGGGTGCTGATTGTGAAACGCTGGATCCCCTCCATGGGCGGGGGGGGCACATTGGGAACTTGTCCAGTGGCAATAGATAACTTGTAGTAGAAGAGGGAATTTATCTAATATAGAAGTGGAACACCTGAAGTTGCGCCTTTCTGTTTATTTTCTAGGTCACTTGGCTGTGTGGCGTTCCCTTGCTATTTCCTCTCTGACTCAGTGATTTTTTCCTATTAAATAAACTTTTTTATTTTGCCCCCAGGCCGGTCTCTGCTGTGCAGGCTGTGTGGAGTGTGTGTGCCAAAGTGACCGGATATCTGGGGAGTTGGTTTCATTCTCCTGGGGGTGATGAACTAGAGGGGAGAAACCCAAGTGTCTGGGAGTTCAGAGCTCGGGAAGGACAGATTTGGGGAGACGCAGGACCAGAAGGGCTGTTGGGGTCACTGGAGTACCCTGGCTGGTGGAGTCCCTCATGTGGGTGGGCTGGTTACCGGTGGGGGGGCTTTGAGCCATCACAGCCAGCATTGAGTCTCCGCAAGGTGACAGAGGGTGCTAAAGGAGTTGGCGGATGTGATTGCGGAGCCATTGGCCATCATCTTTGAAAACTCATGGCGATCGGGGGAGGTCCCGGATGACTGGAAAAAGGCTAATGTAGTGCCCATCTTTAAAAAAGGGAAGGAGGAGGATCTGGGGAACTACAGGCCAGTCAGCCTCACCTCAGTCCCTGGAAAAATCATGGAGCAGGTCCTCAAAGAATCAATTCTGAAGCACTTAGAGGAGAGGAAAGTGATCAGGAACAGTCAGCATGGATTCACCAAGGGCAAGTCGTGCCTGACTAACCTAATTGCCTTCTATGATGAGATAACTGGCTCTGTGGATGAGGGGAAAGCAGTGGATGTGTTATTCCTTGACTTTAGCAAAGCTTTTGATACGGTTTCCCACAGTATTCTTGCCGCCAAGTTAAAGAAGTATGGGCTGGATGAATGGACTGTAAGGTGGATAGAAAGCTGGCTAGATCGTCGGGCTCAACGGGTAGTGATCAATGGCTCCATGTCTAGTTGGCAGCCGGTTTCAAGCGGAGTGCCCCAAGGGTCGGTCCTGGGGCCGGTTTTGTTTAATATCTTTATTAATGATCTGGAGGATGGTGTGGACTGCACTCTCAGCAAGTTTGCAGATGACACTAAACTGGGAGGCGTGGTAGATACACTGGAGGGTAGGGATCGGATACAGAGGGACCTAGACAAATTAGAGGATTGGGCCAAAAAAAACCTGATGAGGTTCAACAAGGACAAGTGCAGAGTCCTGCACTTAGGACGGAAGAATCCTATGCACTGCTACAGACTAGGGACCGAATGGCTAGGTAGCAGTTCTGCAGAAAAGGACCTAGGGGTCACAGTGGACGAGAAGCTGGATATGAGTCAAGAGTGTGCCCTTGTTGCCAAGAAGGCTAACTGCATTTTGGGCTGTATAAGTAGGGGCATTGCCAGCAGATCGAGGAACGTGATCGTTCCCCTCTATTCGACATTGGTGAGGCCTCATCTGTAGTACTGTGTCCAGTTTTGGGCCCCACACTACAAGAAGGATGTGGAAAAATTGGAAAGAGTCCAGCAGAGGGCAATGAAAATGATTAGGGGTCTGGAGCACATGACTTATGAGGAGAGGCTGAGGGAACTGGGATTGTTTAGTCTCCAGAAGAGAAGAATGAGGGGGGATTTGATAGCTGCTTTCAACTACCTGAAGGGGGGTTCCAAAGAGGATAGAGCTCGGCTGTTCTCAGTGGTGGCAGATGACAGAACAAGGAGCAATGGTCTCAAGTTGCAGTGGGGGAGGTCTAGGTTGGATATTAGGAAAAACTTTTTCACTAGGACGGTGGTGAAGCACTGGAATGCGTTACCTAGGGAGGTGGTGGAATCTCCTTCCTTGGAGGTTTTTAAGGCCCGGCTTGACAAAGCCCTGGCTGGGATAATTTAGTTGGGAATTGGTCCTGCTTTGAGCAGGGGGTTGGACTAGATGACCTCCTGAGGTCCCTTCCAACCCTGATATTCTATGATTTTATGAGAGCGGGCGCAGCTAGAACCCCTTACTGGTCTGGGTGATCCCCAAAACATCACCATTGCTTTTCCCGTTGGTGCAGACAGAGAGATATAGAAGTCTTTGCGTTTACCGTCCCCCCGCAGACCAACCGCACCTTCATCGCTTCCCACTTGTAATTGAACTCAGCTGTTTGGAATGAAAATGGAAGTTACACGCGTAATGTCACCAGGCATTGTGCACCAAATGTGTCTTGGCACCTTTATGGCAGGCCTGCAGTTGGATAGGTGTCAGCATCCCCGTTACCGTATTTATGATGTGTTGTTTCCGTACGGGATATATGTACACTGCACACATCACAACAGCTGCCAGTGTTTTCTGGGAAGGTGCAGCGGTGTTCCTAGTGTTGGCCAAGCTGCAGAAAAGCCGGTAACCAGATAGAGCAGATTGCTGGAAGGAAGCTCTCTGCTAGACATATGTCATCTTTAAAAAATAATCTTCAGGATCTTACAGTTGGAGTGGAAGCAAACCCAAGGCAAGCACAATAGTAGTGTGGTGTTATACCTGAGAATAAAGCAATGCTAGGCATCACTTTTAAGCATGATAAGCACTGTGAACATCATGTTCTGAACGTTATTTTAAAGTATTAAAGCTGTAGGCTGATTGCTCTTCGTAGTAAACAGGAGATTCCCTGCATGATGCTGCATGCTCCTATCTTCTCTGACTCTCCATTAACGTGCTACAATGATTTGTCCCTTTGTAGCCTTCTTGAAGAAATCAGATGCTCTTGAGTTCTTGGGCAAAATCCGCAAGCGCCGTGATGTGGACAGAGGCTGTGCTGGTGGGAGATGCACCTTTGAAGAAGACAATGATGTTTTTGATGATAGAAGCTTTGGGGTTAGTAGATGGCATGCTGCATGGGAGGGCTTGAATCACGTTACCATAGTAATATGGGACTACTTCATTTGTTCCATGAAGGGTCACTATGATCCTTCATTGCCTTAATTCATGTAGGGCTAGAAAAATGTAATCATAGAAATGTCGGGCTGGAAGGGACCTCAAAAGAGCATCTAGTCCAGCCCTCTGTGCTGAGGCAGGACCAAGTAAACCTAGACCATCCCTGACAGTTGTTTGTCCAACCTGTTTTTTTGCTGTGCAGACATACCTTCTGACGAGTTTAGATTAAGACCTTGTATCATCCTGGTACATTGCATAATCTGCAGTGATGAAATTCACCCTTGTGCAGAGGGTCTGCACAAAGATATAGGCGAAACATGAGGCCCTCTTAAGCCTCCAGGGTGACAGCAGTGTTCAAGTCCTTGTACGAGCTCTAAACTTCACCAGTGACTCATGTTCTTGCTCTGCTCCAATGATCACCACTGCTCCATACGCCAATTGGGATTCAATAGTCACTAACAAGGTAAAGGCACAATACGTTATTTCTGTTGTAGTAAAGGGATTGCTAGTGCCTAGTTTATGAGGAAGGGTAACTGAGGTGGCAACCATCCCTATGGAAAAATATTTTGGGGGAAAAGCAACCAAAGCAATGCAAAGTCAGCTGGATTTTTGTTTGTTTGCCCAGTGTCACCCAGGTTGACATATGTACTAGAGCAACCTAAAAAAAGTCTCTCTTTTTGTTTCCCCAAGGAAGAGTTCTTGAATTTTTATCTCTTTAGGAGTTTGTTACAGCGCCTTCACTACTCTGGGAAATATCAGGTATCTAGATATTTATACCTACATCTACATTTAAAAGAATGAAATAGGTTATTTTGCATTTCTTCTACCACGTCTGACCTATTAACTATCGTAGGCAGTGACGCTGTGGCCATGTTGGTCCCAGGCTATCAGCGAGACAAAGTGGGTGAAGTAATATCTTCTATTGGAGCAACTTCTGCTGGGGAGAGAGATGAGCTTTCGAGCCACGCAAAGCTCTTCTTCAGCTCAAAAGCTCGTCTCTCTCGCCAACAGCAGTTGGTCCAATAAAAGCAATTACCTCCCCCTCCTTGTCACTCTATTAACTATCAGCCATTTTCCTGGTTTTGAGGCCAAAATGGACCATCCATAATGGTCATCTACTCTGATCTCCTGCATAGCACTGGCTGTAAAATTTCATCCAACAATTCCTGTATCGAGCCCGGTGACTCGCGTTTGAACCACTGTCCTCAGTGCCAGTTTTCCAGGCTGATATTCAAATAAAGTAAAGTCCCCAGTTCAGATCATCCACAATAATGTATTTATTTGCATTCTTCTACAGCCCCCATTTCCAGACCATCTGGGTATCACACATTCAACTGAAAAATGGACCAATTCATCTTCGGCCCAATGTTTGACACAGGCCCTATCTAGGACTAGTATTTATATTGTGATAGAACCAAGAGGCCCCAGTCAGGCCATGAGGTCTTATTGTGATAGGTGCTGTACTGAGAGAAAGAAAGACAGAGATCACACCCCTAAGAGCCTACAATGTAGAGATAAACACCAGAAGGGAGGCAACCAACAAGCAGAAGGATGGGGTGAGGGTGGGAATGTCATATTAATCCCAGGACTTCTTGTCTTTACTGTATTTGTTTTATATCTCTTACAAAAACTGAAGAGTCTGGGGGACTGTGGGGCAGTCAGGGTTGTAGCGGGGGAGAGGGAGGAATTGTGGGAGGAAATGGAAACGGAAGAGCAAAGACGAGAAGGGTGGTGGGACATAAGAAGCGTAATAGGAATGAATAGTGAGGCTGGGCAGTTGAATGGTGAGAGAGGGGCAGGGTGAAGCCACTCCTGGGGATGCAGCAGGTGAGGGGTGGGGAAAGGCAGCATTGCTAATTTTCTTTCTTCCCCGCCCAACACTTTCAGACCCAGTTCCACCCAGTGACAGAGTCTCCACCGGAGCCCACCATGACGCCGCAGGTACTTTGCTGTTTGGCTGGCTGTATGGCTCGCTGGATTGCTTTGACCTGGAAGCACTTTCGGGACCACAGTTCAGAGAGGTGAATTAAAAGCTGCTGTGGTCTACAGACTCATCAAGCCAGGGCAGAAGAGGGCAAAGATGAAGCACTTGTAAAGCAGATGATACATCTCATACGCTGGTGCTCATGGGAGATTTTAACCAGAGAGAGAGAGAGATACAGCAGTCAGCCTTAACAACTACCATCGCTAGCTTTGCCATAGATACACAGATTAGTTACCTCGGCATTGGCAGTGTCCCCGTGGTAGTTCTTCCAGTCAGCATAGGGAATGTTGGCAGGTCAGAAGTAACCTAAGGCAAAGTTAGCAAGTTTTAAGGGTGATCATATCTCTCTCTCTCTCATTAATTACAACCTCCCGCAAGCACCAGGCCATGAGACTTGTCACCACTACTGCTTACGATCACTACCTCTGGTGGGCTATATTTATTTGTTTCTCTATCACCCCACTCCAGCCCCAGCCCCCTTGTTTGTCTCGTCCACCTGTTACATCTTGTCTTTAAGACAGTAAACTCTTTCAGGGTGGGGACAGACATTTATACCCTTATACAATGCCTAGCACTATAAAGCCCACCCTGGTTGTGGCTTTAAGATCTTACTACAGTGTAATTAGGCTTGGAAGGATTAGATTTTTATCAATAAATGTCAATAAATGTTGATTTCACCATACACGCACAAACCGATGAAAAATATCTCCATTGATAATTGAAATTTGCAGAGAGGCAAAGTAAGAAAAATGCTTCTTAAGACCTTATTAGAGTTTGATTTAAGGATATTTACTTTGTAAATTTTGACATGTGATGTGGATAGTTCATGTTGTGATGGCTATAAAGCTTTTTGAATCTCAGTATCTACAGTCATTAAATAATTATTGTCTGCATAATTGCCTGAAACTGTGAACATTTAAATTGACAACAAAATACTTAACAGCCATAATTTTGCACAACTGTGAATATTTACATTAATAAAAATATTTTAAAAATAAAATCAATATTATCTGTCAAAATGATAAAAAAATAAAAATGGAATTCTTCCAAGCCTAAAAGTAATATTAAATAATAATTTTCATTTGTCAGCTGGTCTATCTGTTCTACAGCTAGAGCTGGGATAATTTTATGGATGAATAGCTTATTTGCCAAAACATGTCATTTGCGGTTTATTGAATTCAAGTTGAATTTGGCTACTAATTTTGGTAAAAAAAAATTGATTTTTTTTAAAGAATATAAATGTTTTGTTTTGACATTTTCAAAATGAAACGGTTTGACGTTTGTAAAAAAAATTTTAAGGGAAAAACACACCTGACAACTAAACAAAACATTTCATTCTACCTGAAATAATGTTTTCCATATTTCGTTGCAGTAAGAAAAACTGAAAAACTTTCATTTCAGTTTGATCCAAAACAATTTCCCCCCCAATTCTTTGGTTTGGCCACCAAACAAACAAACAAAATCTGTTATTCACTCAGCTCTAGTGACCCCTCCCGACATGAGGAGTCAATAGACTCAATTCTTCTCTTATTCTAAACCACAGGATTTCACTGCTTCGACTGACATAATTCTCCAGATGTGCTCCTCTAGTACAATACCCAGCTCCTGCAGACAGGTCAGATACACAGCCTTACCACAAAGAATAAATGTAACTCTGCTCGGGTTAACTATCTGGCCAAATATACTACTAGTCAAGTGCAAAGTGAAGGTCTGACTCTTCAAAGCCTGTAGGTTTCCATTCATTTCATTAATTTGCAGGAGTCTTCACCACCATCATCTGTTCCACCTGAAACTCGTCTCTTTGACTGATGCCTAGCTGGAGCGAGTGGATGGATTCACTGGTGACTGCCCAGTTGTGGTCAGAAGAAACCCAAGGAACATTCAGTCATCACTCTTCCACAAGTAGAAGAAAAAGTAGCAGAAATTGGCTACTTGGAAATTGTCTTGTCTGTATTAACTCTGATTAATAAAAGCATGCAAATAACGATGAAACGCAACACTCCCTGACTCAGATAATACAGACAAAAAGACACCAGGTTCCTCCCTCCTCCCAGCCCCCAAGCTACTTTCATTCTAGCTACATATGTATAAACACGAGTACCCAGAAATGCATTTACCAGGTTTAACTATCAGAGGTGATGCACAAAACAAGTAAGACAGAACCTAGACCTAAAGGTTCAGAAACAATAAAGCTGAATATTGATTAGACTTTAAACACCCTTTATTTCAGAACTAAGAATAAAAGTGCAGTGTGAGAAACACAAAGAGTGTCAACAGCTGTTTATAGATACCACAAATTACCATTTATTTACTTTGCTTTTAAGACTCTGTATTTGAATGTAAAATATTCTGCTTTGCTCTGTATTTAAAAAGCAACAGTGTTTTCTTACATATACAGGAGTCCTAGAGTTACATTGGTCAGAAATGATAAGGCTGTTAAAGAAAATATATTCTTTCCTGGAGAGGTTGGGAGTGTTGGAGGCATGATGCCCTTATTCCAGGCTACTAAAAAGCATGGTAAAACTCTGAGCAGAAAGCAGCTTGCAGCCTCGTTTATAGATTAAGATGCTTGCGCCCTACATAAACCAGCCAGAATCAAGTTTAAAAGAAATAAAGCGATTGTGTCTAATGTGGACACACAATAGCAGGCTGATCTGGTTAACATGGCTCCCTGCTCTAAACACCATGATGGCCGTAAGTACATTTTAGCGGTGAGAGACATCCTGTCTAAATACACCTGGGTGGAAGCCCTAAAGGATAAGACCGAGAAAGAGGTGACGAGGACATTTAAAACTATTTTCAATCAAGTCAAAAATGACAGATGGACTGTGGAAAAGAATTTGTAAACAAAGCTTTAAAGAATTTGTTAACACAAATACTGTTTTGTTATCAATAATGAAGTTAAAGTGGGGGTCATGGAGAGATTTAACAGCACTTTAAAATGAAAGATGTGGAGGTACTTTACATCCGCAGCACCTATTGATACAGCAACATGATGCAGGCTTTTATACAGAAGTTACCACAGAACCATCAGCGGGCGACCGATCGATGTGAACCGTTCTAACGCGCTGGCTGTGTGGAAAGCGGTCTAGGCGGGCAGTTTTAAAATAAAGTTAACACAATCTCTTTTTAAAATCACCTATGGTACGTAAATCAAAAGGGGCATCAGTTAATGGGGGACTGCGAGGTACTGCTGTTGTGCTGCGTTCACATCTGCGGCAGCAACAATGAATTTATCACTATCACGCATGGCAAACTGCATTATGTTCCTGAGAGTAAACAGCACATCAGAACCAGCACGACGGAAATAAAGACAGACCAGAATCAAAACGTTTCATTTTGTTCGGAAAGGTGAACATTAAATGTCATCTGCACTTCGGGAAAGCTGAAGGACGGTGACTAGAAAAAATTATGGGGACCCCTTTTTGTTTAAGAACTATTAAAAGGCCCAGGCTGGTTATGCCCTACCAGGATAATCAGGGATTACCTGTTATGTAGGGGACTGAGTTAAACTGGATATTCCACAATCTTTTTAGAAAAGCCGGGCCGATTTTGAGAAGGAGCTAGAAATTATTAAGCCTCACATGAAAATGGCTGCGAAACATATAACCGAAGATGTAGTGACCCGCGTATCTAGTGCCATGACGCACAACCAAGGCACGTACATGCAAGAGGAAGGCTCTGGTCTAGTAATGATTAGGAAAAAAAGAGCAGTATCATGCCGTCCATTTACAGGCCCTCCCTCCCATGCCCTTTAAAATGAAAGCTGCCTGAAGCCATCGCAGACCGTCCAAGGAAGAGGACCGTAGATCACGGGGAAGGGGATATAGACTCCCTGGGGGCCGCGAGCAGGTTTCCGGGGGACCACCAAGCAGGGCAGCATTAATCTCACTGGAGCCCAGGGTAGAAAGGCGAGGCCCCACTGCATGGGGCTGAAGCCCAGGGCCCTGAGCCCCACCACCTGGGGCTGAAGCTGAAGCCTGAGCACGCCCCAGGCAATGGCCCTGCTTGCTACCCCCTAGCGCCGTCCCTGGCTTTTCTATGCAGAAAACCAGTTGTGGTGGCACAGAGGGGCCGTGGAGTTTTTCTAGCATGTGGGGGGCGGGAGGGGACTCAGAAAGTAAAAGCTTGAAAACCCCTGTTTTAAAACACAACACGGCTTTCATTCATGGGGCCCTGAAGAATGTGCTGAATCCCAGCTGGATTTATTTCAAATCGCCCCTCATCTAACCAGGATTGAGCATCGCTTTTCTGGCGAGGTGCCCCCTTGGCTGCTTGAATGGTGAATGCCCCTCGAGAATGTTTTGTTTCAGGACACAGGGATCATTACTTAGACCGCACGCAGCAGCACTTTGCAGTGCATGCGCTGCAAGACAGCGAAAGACGACGGCTCCGACCTCGATGACAATGCCAGGATCACCCCATTTCCACCCTTTTCACCAGCTGGCTGTCACTCTGGGTGGCTGACTTATCAGCCAGACAACAACGCTTACCCTTACAAAGCCTTTATAGAATTGATTTTAAACTACCACAATGAAACCTTCTCTACGCAGGTGTCCCCCAGAGGGTTTCAGGAAGACACAGAGGGAATCACAAGACCGCCACCTGGCTGGTGTGGGTAGCAGAGGGTTTACGCCGCAATTTCATTTTTCAAGAAAAAATGCTGCTGAACGGTGTGGATGTGACAATTAAACTCACACGTAGCAAAGATACTTTTTGCCTCCTGAGCGGGAATGCCAGTCAGAATTATAAAGTGCATATTTAATGCCGCGACTCTCTTTCTGAATCGTCTGAAAGCGGCTCCAGGGGTCCTTTTGGGACACGCAGAGGCTCTAATGACAGCCAACGCAAAGCGCCCTGTGGACTGGTTGGGGATGAAAGGGTTTAATGTTCCAGCCAGCAGTCACATCAGTAACCAGGAAAATCTCTTTCTGGGGCAGTCACCCAAGCAGCTCGTTATTGGATTTGCAGATAACGATGTCTTCGGTGGAAAGGATGCTAAAAACCCTTTCAACTTTAAACATTACAATGCTGCCACAAAACTTGTTGCTATTTTCAGCCTCCACTTATAGACAGTTTGTAGTGTGGTTGTCACTTAACCATGGGCTGGCTACCCCCAAAAACAGCTGTTCTTGTGCAATTTTTCTAAAGCCGCAGTTCTCTTTGCTCTTTTGAAGCTGGTTCCCGAGAGCTTTCTTCTTCTTGCTGTTGTTGGGTATCTTGGTAGATAGCGAATGATGCCTCTGCTAAATACACCCATAAAACCCAGTTTTAGGATCCAGTAACAAATATTTTTTAAAGTTTTAAACAAAATCCTAGATTTTTAATGAAAAATGATTGATGACAAATTGTTGGATGAGGAATTTGAACTTCTGCAGAGTCACAGGCTACAGGGTCTTAAATACAGCAGATTAACCACTCTTGCTCTAATCATGTTAGGATACAGCTTGGCAAATTACTGTACGAATGTTTCTTCAGGATGTAAATGCATAGCAGAACTGTCAAAACTAACCCCTTCTTTACACTAAAAAGGATGATAATTATCTTTGAAAAACTTTACCTATGCACTGCCATGTTTATTTCCAATTACTTTTGAGTGAGACCAAAATCTTCTGGTTGTGTATGGAAGGCGGGGCGAAGAGCAGGGATTCTGCATGGTTCATCTCTCCTGAAAACTGCTCTCTGATTACTTAACCAAACAGTCAAGTCATCAGTGTTTCACATTTCACAAATCTCCACCTATATAATGTCAAAATAGCAGTCATTTCTAATGGCAGCAATTTTTAATTCACTTTAAGTCTTGAATATATTTAAGTTAAAAGCAAATTTTAAAAATACAGTTATTTCAAAAACTTGCCACACTTACAGCTTCTCAAAACCGTTGTGTAAACAGAATCAGAAACCCTTAACCTTCGCAATTGTACTAATAATCACAAATAACAACTATACCTATGGTCTTGGGTATTATTAGGAATAAGGCCACTTTGAATGCTGACTTGGTCTAAATTCCACCATATTTGGGCAAAAATAAAACAACAAGCAAACAAACAAAAAATAGAAGAAAAACATGATCTTTAGGGGTCTGTTTTTTTCGGGGGGGGAGGGGGCGGGGCCGTCATTTCTGTAGCTATGCTCAGTTTGTCTTTTTTGGCACCAACATACACATCTACAGTCTCTCTTGTAATTGTTACAATCAGAACAAGATGCAGAGAACTAAACTTCAGTGTTATCTTCAGCCTGTAGGCGTCCAGGGAACAGATTCCTGGAGCTGTTTGGAACTCGCAGTTTTCAAATGAAGAAACAGATTTTCCCATGAATTTAGCAAACTATGTCAAGGGCACCATTGCTTTCAGGAAACCAATAGCTAAGTTTTCAGACTCCCTCAGATACCAAGGCATAGAGAAAGAAAAGGAAGGACCCAGGCAAAATGTCACCATTTCTGCAGAGAAACGTTTTACATTTTTATTATGAAAATGACGAGTTTTAATTTTCACTGAAAAGGCTGAAACATTTTAAATGAAATTAGCGAAAGCCCCCGCACAGTTCCTGGCCTGCACCCGTTTTTAAAGAGGTATCCGAAGAAGCATTGCCTTTAGGATCTGTCTGAGGGGGACTGAACAAAAATCTCCTTTGAGTGTCTTCCCAAATGCACTCTTCATGCGTAAGGGAATTTTCATAAGTTCACACTATAAAAGTATCAAAACCAGGGGTTCTCAAACTGGGTGTCGGGACCCCTCGGGGGTCACGAGGTTATTACATGGGGGGGTCGCGAGCTGTCAGCCTCCAACCCAAACCCCGCTTTGCCTCCAGCATTTATAATGGTGTTAAATATATTAAAAAGTGGTTTTAATTCATAAGGGGGGGATCGCACTCAGAGGCTTGCTATGTGAAAGGGGTCACCCGTACAAACGTCTGAGAATCACTGATCAAAACCTTTGGTGCTGAACTGTTTCGCTTCAGTTAGGAATTGCC